CAGTTGGGAAACTGAAGACGTGTCTTATTAGTTATAATAATCTGTGTCTCGGAACAAGCCTTCATCACAGTTAAAAAACTTCCCATATACTTGCATTGTAGCAACTCAGAGCAAATCCATTCCAAAATGATTTCGAAGAATACAAAAAAAGGTTGTCCTCAGCCTGAAAAAAAACCCAAATTAATTAAAACAAACCTTTTTGAGATTGTCTACCTTTTATCCCCCCCAAAGGGTATGAATGACAAACTGTTCAGATATGAATTTTGATTTTGCAGAATTTTAGTAAATCATGAACAAAAGAGATACAGAAAGAGGACAAGGAAGCCAGCGCCATGGTTTGTGACACGTAAAAGTGCACCCAGGACATACGGAATAACAGAGGAAAATCTGACAGACCTACGAGAAAAAGTATGGGAGGATGTAGCCAACATGAAAACTTCTCCAATCAGAGAAGAATACTTAGAAAAGAAGGGACTGACAGATAACATGCTCGCTAGTCTTCAACAAAGTGCTGGAGAGGACTTTCAGTGGAAATATAAGTAAGTACCGGTACTGTAATTTATTGACTTTGTAAATGTTAAGAATCACAATATATTACTTGAAAGCCAAATGTTTTTTTAATTAAATTAGATTAATTAAAACTTATTAGCAATATGATCAGTCTACGCGAAAGTTAAAAATTTTTACAGGACAAAATGTCTGGTAAAAATAAAATTTTTACCAGACCAAGCAATTTCTTACCAGACCGACTATTTTCCTTTAAAGATATATATGCTGTATTAGTGTTTTATTGCTAAAGAAATAAATATATGTGGTGTCTCATCAAGTAACATAAGTTATGTTATTTCTGCAATTAAGACAATTCCACTCCATCACTTTTAAAAGTTATGAAATATTATCTTGTAAAAATTATTTTCTCTCCGAATCGGATATTAAACCGCCTCTTATTGAAATATTCATGAACACGTGGTCTCGCATGCTTACAGCAAACAATGGTCCAATCTCGTGAATGAGCCGAAAAGCATGATGGTCTACTACGTTTTCACTACAAACACGTGGCTGGAAAGCCAATTTACATTTTCTAAAAACCTGTTTTAGAAAAATAGGAAGAATAGTTACTAATTGAGAATCCCCATGCTCACATTGACAAACAAATGCAGTCTTTCTTGTTAGCATACTGTATGTTTCGAAGTTGTACACATTGTAAACATTGTCAATACGTGAGCACATCTCAGAGTTAGTTGCTTTTTGTACCGAGGAATATATAGTCACGTAAAATTGTCTTTTCACTGTCAGTAGAGCACGTGGAAATTGTAAACAAAGAACTGTACAATAGAGTGGGGAAAACTCTTATTTTTATCATTGTTTATTTGTATGCAAATGTTAGCATGGGATTAGTAGATAATAATGTACTTAATGCATTAAGCATGTAAATGCTTGGGAAATGCACCACGTCTTTCTGAGAGCGATTTAAAAAACTAGCCTGTTCGAAAAACACATGTAGTATTTATGTACTGAGTAGTAACCCATAAATGCATTAAATACAACTCATTGAGCTGATTGGTCGATTTGTCAGTCTTGTTGGTTCCTCGCTGAACAGACGTCACAAAAAATAGTTTCCTCGACCTGATGATTCTCGTGATGCTTTTCCCGCGCACATGCGCAGATCCAACATAAACGTCAGTCCTTTATAAATATGCATGAGAATATCGTGTTCTTTCCCGACCAGTACTTTGTTAATACCGAATAATATTTCGTCGAATTTGCGAGAATGCTTCATTTTTGATAGCTTATCATACTTCAGAAATTTTGTTTGGTTTTAGCTGTGCAAAAATACTGTTTAACACGGCATACATATCTTTAAATCCATACATCATTATGATACTGAGATTGAGAGAGTGGGTGGGATGGGGTTAATTCTCACAGTGAAATTTAACCTTAAATAAATTCAGAGTGAAGTGGACAAGTTAATTATTTATAATTTTCCTTTGTAAAAGGTATCTATTTATACAATTGCATGCATTTTTTTCTTCATATTTGACTTATACAACATACAATGTATCAAATATTTTCTTAAATTTAATATGCACTTTCAATGCATATTTATTTTTCCTAAAACAACTCATTATGGTTACTCAAGTTCAATGATCATTGAAAAATAATTTCCCAACCAAATCTACGTATGAACTATCTAAATATTTTCCCAACTAAATCTATATATGAGCTATCTAAAGATCTCTAACCCTTGACAGAGAAAATTAGAATTGGAATAAAAACGATCATGACAGCGTTGTAATACATAAAATATAATCAGGTATTACTGTTAAATTGGTCAAATAAAGGATATTTGTGGGGAATTGGACCATGTGTACCTCTTAATTTAGATTTATTCGGCCTTATTTTTTACCGGACATTTGGTCCTGTATACTGAAATTTTTTACCGACCCGACCTAAATTTTAACGGTAAAAACCGACGGTCCGGTGACTTTCGCATAGACTGTACGATACAGGATTAAAACATCAAAAAAAGTTAATTTAAAAAAGTTAATGTCAAAAGTGACATATGTGGTATAAAGTAAGAAATCCAGTATGTTTATATTTCTAAATAATTTTACAGCACAAAAAGAACAGGTGTACTGGCAATAAAGCTTGGCTTAATACCACAGTGGAACAAGGAAGGCAAAAAAGTGTTGTGTACAGTCTTGCAGGTTTGTATTAACCACATATACTACCTTTCTTAAATTCACCACATTAACAGGTGATTTAAAAGTAAGCTATATTCAAAGAAGAAGGTATGGTTTCAATACAAATTTTGCCCTGTGATTTTCTAAAAAATGAAACTGGTGTAAAAGTTGAAAACTCATGCTTTTTAAATAATTGAAATTCAATGCAGAAAAATCATGCAAGTCATTTTTCTCACATGTGTTTTTAAATGCCAATTATGACGTCATAAACATGTGCATTTTCCCGTATTTTCTTAAAAAGTTGCAGAAGACACCAATTTTCAATGGAATTTTCTTTCAGATAACATTGTCCACAGGCATCGCCCACAAAGATCTTGAGATATGTGATTTATTATTGAATTTTGCACAAAATATCAAAAAATTAATGTGGGCGAAGGCTGTGGACACTGTTTTCTAAAGGAAAATCACCCTTGAAATTTGCCATTTTGAGTCTTTTTCTGTTGAAAATAGAGAAATGCTTCACATTTATGACGTCATATTTGCAGAATGGTAAACCTTCATGCCATATTCTTTCCCGATTTATCAGAGTCATTTATTTAACTAATATTTAAGCCAGTTTCAAAACTTTTTGATGTCATTCCATTTTAAGGGCACAATAAAGCTAAAACAATACCTTCTTCTTTTAATCATTCTAAGACTGAAGTCTTAATTGAATTGCTTATTCTCCTATAAAATCAACATTTGTGATATAAATTCCTTCAACAGACAAAAAAAATTGGCACTGCATTTTCTGTTCTGATAAAGTATAAAATGATATGATCATGGTGTTAATGAAAGTGTATTTTTTCAGGTAATAGATAACCATGTGATAAGATACACACCTCCAGAAGAGTTCCAGAAAACACAAGGATTCCATCCTTGGTTCCCGCGGGATGTGGGGTCTATTGTGGTTGGTGCTCTCTCATGTAGTCCTCTGCTGGTAATTGCTAATTTTTTAATTAGTCCCATAAACATCACAAAAACAATATCTGATTATTGCTATAAATTTTCAGTAAAAATAGTCAATTTTATCAATGAAATCTTTTTAAAATTATTATGCAATACTGAAAACAGTTGTGTTCATAATTATGCATGAGAACTGACAAAAAATTCATCTGCATTACATATTATGTCATCGTCGCAAGCCACGGGTTTTGTGTCCATTCTATTTGTGGAAATAGAATGGACACAAAACCCGTGGCTTGCGACGATGATATTATGTATGAGGGGGAAAATTTACTTGTAGCTTTTCATCTCCTACAAGTAATATTCTGTAGAAGCAGAAATATTCATGGGGGATTAAATTTTATTTTACAGTTTATTTCCTTGTTTATACTGGTAAGCACAATTATCAACGAAAATAAATCCCACACAAACCTTCAGCATGACAATAAACTGCATTAGTTTAATTTCAAAATAACAAAATTTTATGTCCACAAAAACTTTTTAGACAACAAATCAACGAAATTTTATGCTCACAAAAATTTGTGTTTCTACAGTATTCAGTATGTTAATCTACATTGAAGAGGTTTAACTACATGATGAAAATCATTTTGGATATAAAGATCTAATTAATATAAATATGATATTAATTTATGTATATACATTTTTTTTAGAACTTTAAATTATATGTGATTAAGCAACAACAAAAATGATTGGTTGTTGGAAAATTATTGAAGAAAAAGGAAAATTCAGTGGTGGTCTCAATCCCCTGATCTTTGATTTGCCAAACAATTCTTTAAATGCTTTGAATGTCCTCTCTTTAGTTCACCAAACAGTACAATCACTTATTCCTGGAGGCTGGGGTTGCTCCAAAGAGAAAATTAACCAGATTTTTGATATCTCCAGAATGCAGGATTGCTCCAGGTAGAATTTTCATGAGAATGTTTTAATTTAATGTTTTAAATCACTCCTTTTAAACTCCTACTAAGACAAAACAATGTGAAAAGCTGCAGAGATTGACTCTTCAGAGTTTATGCAATTCCCATCTGTCTTGAAATCACAGTATGCATCTATGTTCTAAGGTAAATTATTTTGCATCAGGTCTTTTTATACTTTTTTATAAACTCGGCCTCATCCACAATCAGATTGTGTTGAATATTCATGATGATTACAACTTATATTTTCTTGACAAGTGTCAATCTCAAAAATTTTGAACGAATAAAATTTAAATTAATGAAATCAACTGTATCATTTCACAGAAAAATTGCTTAACATGCTTTTTTTTCAACAGGAACCAGACTTAGAGCAGATCATTTTAGAGTTGATGATTATGTTGACTGTAGTGCTAAAACGTAAGTTCATGTGTAATCATATAAACTAAACAGATACTAGGATTCACAGTATATACATACTAAGTGTAGTAATTTTTTTTAAAGAGTGGATCGAAATCCTTAAGATAATATCTTTTTTGCACAAAAAGTAATGTAGAGGTATGGAAGGAAACTTCAAAAACTTCAAAATTTCACTTCAGTGCTCAAGTGGTGACTATATTTCATTTTGATTGTTTTAGGATTGGACATGCGTTTCAAGGTGTGGTGAAGAGGTGGGGGTTCAAAGGTCAAAGTGCATCTCACAGAGGAGGGAAAAACTGGCGCAAGGCAGGGGCCATGGGCGGAGGAAGGGTCAGTAATTGAGACCACTAATTTCAAATCCTTTTGGCTGCAATTATACATACAAAACTGATACTAAACAATTATTTTCTTATCATTTAGAAGAAATAGATCTGTAGAACATGTAAACCTCATCCAAACTAAAGTTGCATTTATATTGCAACTGTTAGAAAAAAATGTACCTTTCTTCTCTGAACTTATGTTTTATCTTACAGCTACATGTACATAATAATTAAGATCTCATTGTTTAAAGACTTAAGTTCTCTATCTCATTTTTAGTAACTCTAAAAAAAATTCTGAAACAGTTGAAAAGTTCTGAACAATTGTCAGTGAGTTTTGATAAAAGTATCTTGAATACTAGTAGTTACAAGTACTTTGAAACTGATCTAAACTCAAAGTAGATTATTAATAAGGTCAAGATCACAAGAAAGGTTAAGGGTACAATGCTACAAATATATGTATTAGTGGATAAGTTTTGGTTAAAATACATTGAATAGTTTCTTAGAAACTGAGACAAACTCAAAGGGTAAGAGACAGGAAATTGTAAGGACAGAAGACAGACATGACAAACACTATAATATATCCTGGCAATATTCATGACACGGCTTAAAACATTTAAAGTTTTGTATCAATTTGATGATTTGCATGTATTTTCAGTCACAAGCTGGAGTGAGGCCTGGTAAGAAGATGCCAGGTCACATGGGAATGGATTGGAACACACAGAGAGGGCTAAAGGTAAAACTGCAGGCTGGATGTCAATATAGATCATTTCAGTATCTGTATTTCACAATTTTAATCTGGGGGGGATACTTTTTTTCCCTCCAATTTCTGCATTGGTATATGAAAATAGTATAATTTCAGCAAGCCAGTTATACATGTGTATTTACACAGTACATTATATAATTATAAGAATGAAAAAAAAATTAGGTATCTTGTTGGCCCTTGCTTTTTGACAATATTTGCTTATGATAATTATCTGAACATTTCTGTTTTCATAGATTGTGAGGATGGACACAAAATATGATGTGATTTATGTGAAGGGGATAGTTCCAGGCCCAGACCACTGTTATGTGAGAGTGATGGACACTTCATTAAGAAACAGGAGGCACGAAATGATGAAAAATCCCCCAATCTGCCCCACTAGGTTTGAGGAGTCAGCCAAAGACTTGCCGAGTGAAATTATTTCCAAGGACCTTTATGATTTCAGAGACCCTACTATATCATTTGATAAAGAATAAATAAATTTCTGTTTGAAAATGAATAAGCATTTTTTGGAAATTTGTTTTTTTAGCTCACCTGAGCTGAAAGCTCAAGTGAGCTTTTCTGATCACCCAATGTCCGTTGTCCGTCTGTCTGTTTAAGGAATGTTTTTTAGTTTTGTGTGAGTTATTGGTGTGTGAATCACACAGACTTGTCACGTAGGCATATTTGCCTAGCGCTTCATGAAAAATATTCCTATGTGCAAGTCTGTGTGATTCACACACCAATTATTCACTCTAAACTGAAAAACATTCCTTATATTTACATTTTACCTGTTTGGATGCAACGTCGCTGCAGTCTCATTGTGACGTCACGTTAACGCACGTTTCTCCGTGTATATTTCTACGCGTGAGTATACACGAAAATGTTTTTCAAATCAATTTCACAGTAAGCTTACTAGAAAAACACAGCGAATGTAAATATATATAAATATACATGTTTGAAAAATTGTGAATCCAAGCGTATTGAAATTGAGAGAGCAGAAAAAGCAATCGGTCATTAGGCCAAGATAAATTAATAGTGTGTTTCCTATTCCAGCCTGAGAAAAAATAGAGTAGGTAGGTAGGGAAAACATTTTACTTTATTTAAACATATTATTGGCAAGCACACTTCCATTTTCCCCTAGAGAAATCGCTTTCAAAATATTTCTGATTAATGTGCCTATGATATGCATTTTAAGCTCTACTGGTCAGAGACCAGAAGAGCTTATGCAATAGTAAGGTGTCCGTCATCCGTCCGTCTGTCTGTCTGTCCGTCTAGCTGTCCATCTGTCTGCAAACAATTTTTCAAAACGCTACTCCTCCTACAGTATTGGTCTGATTTCATTTTAACTTGGCACACAATTAGACTACACTAAGATACATAAATTAGTGCATCGGTTTTGATTTCGATGAACAGTGTTGCCATGGTTACTTAAAATAGAAATTTCTGTGAAATTCCTTTAAAATGCTACTCCTCAGGTCCAGTACAATCAGTACATTTAGCTACGTAGGTAGAATTACCTACGTAGCTTTATTTACCTACCTCAGATAGCTTAATTTAGCTACCAAATGAATTTATTTCTACAAAAAAGCATTTTTCTCAGGATGTGCAAAAACTATCATGTTGATGCAGTGATCATTTTCAACTTTGAACTCATGTGAAAACAATTCATGAAAAATTCCCTCTTGAAGAAATGTCTTTTTCTGCGCAATTGCAATCAAAGTTCTGAAAGTTTTGGGGCTATGTATGACAGTTACTCCTTGAATGAAATGATAAAGAGGTCCAGTTCTGGTTAACATGATAATAGGTTGGTAATTATTCAGCACAATGTGAAGTAATCATACTCAGTCATGCCTCACCGCACCTCAACGTATGGTCAGATAACCAAACAATGGAATTACATGTTTTGCTCTAAATTGACCAAACGCAGCAATGTTTAAACTATCTCTGCTTTGGATTGTTTTTTAAAGACAACCTAGTATAAATATCAATAGTCATTTAACTGCGATTTTTTGCCTCTTTTCCATAAAAAGAAAAGTTACATATAAATAGCTAAATAAAGCTACCTGAGGTAGGTAAATAAAGCTACGTAGGTAATTCTACCTACGTAGCTAAATGTACTGATTGTACTGGACCTGCTCCTCCTACAGTTTTGGTTTGATTTCAATATAACTTGACACACAAGTAGCTGCAGATCTGTAGCTCTCCAAACAAATATATTGATAGAACGGAGAGCTACAGTGCCGCCCATCGAAAAAAAACTGTATATTTATCGTGCACAAAAAAGTGTGCTCAGTTCTCGATTTATTTCTCCATGTTTTAAAACTGTAATCTCAAAATATAACTAACCATATGTTCCTAACATATTCTTTCACTGTTTGCACAACCAAACATTCCTCAAAATTGTCATTAATAATCCTTCTGAGTTCTGACCCTGCATGATTTTCTAATTATCGAACATTTCGCCTATTTATAATGCCATTTTGGTTTCAAAGATAATTCGGTCCAAAATACTTCGTTCAGATGTCAACTATGAGAGTAGTTGATAGAGGAGAAAGAAATTTTTTGAAATATTCCCATTTTTTGCAAATGAGGTAAGAATTTTGTAGAATCAATCAAGAACGGAGCTCACTTATTTTGTGCGCAATAAATATACAGTTTTTTCAATGGGTGGCACTGTAGCTCCCCGGTCTATCAATTTATTTTTTTCGGAGAGCTACAGATCTGCAGCTAACACCAAGTAGACTCAACTAAGATACATAAAATAGAGCATCTGTTTCTGATTTCGATGAACAGTGTTGCTATGGTTACTAAAAATAGAAATTTCTGTGAAATTCCGTTTAAATGCTACTCATCCTACAGTTTTGGCCTGATTTCAATATAACATGGCACACAATTAGACTACACTAAGATACATAAAATGTGCATCGGTTTTTAAATTCGATGAACGGTGTTGCCATGGATACTAAAAATATAATTTTCTGTGAAATTCCGTTTAAATGCTACTTCTCCTACAGTTTTGGTCTGATTTCAATATAACTTGGCACACAAGTAGACTACACTAAGATACATAAACTAGTGCATTGGTTTTCGATTTTAATGAACGGTGTTGCCATGGTTACTAAAAATAGAATTTTCTGCGAAATTCCTTTAAAATGCTACTCCTTCTACAATTTTGGTCTGGTTTCAAAATAACTTGGCACATAAGTAGACTACACTGTGATACATACTTCGCACACAAGTAGACTAACTGTGATACATACTCTAGTAATTTAGTGCATCAGTTTTTGATTTCGATGAACGGTGTTGCCATCGTTACTAAAAATAGAAATGTCTGTGAAATTCCTTTAAAACGCTACTCCTCCTACAGTTTTGGTCTGATGGCAATGGCTTCTTTTCTCATCCTTTGTTATAAGTACAAACCAGTAGAGCTACAGTCTCGACAGAGACTTCTGGTTGAAATGGTGCCTGTTCTGACATTTTCTTGGTACGCAATGTATCATAATTGTTTTTTAAAAAAAGCCTTGAAAACATCAGATAGTTCGGATTAAAGAAATTTTAAAAGACCTCTTTGCAATCAATTATTTAATAGTATACATGTATTTAATAAAACAATATTGAACAGGATGACAATAATGTAATTTTGCATCATGCATAGTGTGTAAATACATGTAGTTTTTTTAATTACAAATATGAATGACAGAAGTTTATAAATGATCTTTTTCTCTGTCTCTGAAAAAAATGTTAATGACAATTTAGCAACAGAAAATTTTGACATCGAAGTTTCAGCTCATAGTGCTTTAAATCACATGAATTCATATTCAAATTGAACAAGTGACATTAAAAGAACTGTTTAAAGTATAAATTTTATGTTCCAACTGTAAAAAAAAATATGTAATTTTAAATAGTTTCTTTTTCTTGAAATCCAATTTTAATTAATGACAGTCTTCAGTACTCATCCTCTGGTACCAATAGGCATCTGTCACTCTTGACGGGCGTGGTGGGCTTATTCAAATTGAACAAGTGACATTAAAAGAACTGCTTGATATGGCACGCCAAAATCACAAAAATGAGCAAAACATAGTTTCACAGTCGATAAACTAGGTTTATCGGTTGTAAGCTATCGTTTACGGACTGTAAACTAGAGCGCGATAATCTATATTTTACATTTGTAAACCATAGTTAACGCGATAATCTATGTTTCACAATCGTAAACTATACTTAACACCGAAAACAACCATTTGCGATCACAAAACATAGATTATCTGATAAATACACTTTCACGATTTGTAAACTATGGTTTACAGCTATTAACTATAGTTAACGATCGTAAATTATAGTTTACAGACGTGAATCTATGTTTATCAACAAAATCTATTGTAAACGTTTTATTACAGACAGATAAACTTAGATTAACATTCGCAAACTATAGTTAACAGCCGTTAAATATAGTTTTACAGATGAAAACTATAGTTAACGAATCGTTAACTATAGTTCACGGTTTGTAAACTATAGTTTACAGTCGATAAACCTAGTTTATCAATTGTGAAACTAGATTTAGCTCATTTCTAGCTCACCTGAGCCGAAGACTCAAGTGAGCTTTTCTGATCAAAATTTGTCCGTCGTCTGTCGTTGTCGTTGTCGTCGTTGTTGTCGTTGTTGTCGTAAACTTTTCACATTTTCATCTTCTTCTCAAGAACCACTGGGCCGATTTCAACCAAACTTGCTACAAAGTCTCCTTGGGTAAAGGGGATTCAAGTTTGTTCAAATAAAAGGCCACGTCCTTTTCCAAGGGGAGATAATTATGAATTAGAGAAAAATTAATGGCATTTTTAAAAAATCTTCTTCTCAAAAACCACTGGGCCAGGAAAGATGAAGCTCATGTGGAATTATCCTCAAGTAGTGTAGATTCAAGTTTGTTCAAACCATGACCCCCCGGGGGTAGGGTGGGGCCAAAATGGCCGATTAAAGTTTTACATAGGAATATAGAGGAAAAAGCTTTAAAAATCTTCTCCTCAAGAACCACTGGGCCAGGAAAGATGAAACTCACGTGGAATCATCCTCAGGTAATGTAGATTCAAGTTTGTTCAAATCATGACCCCCCGGGGGTAGGGTGGGGTCAAAATGACCGATCATAGTTTTACATAGGAATATATAGGAAAAATCTTTGAAAATCTTCTTCTCAAGATCCACTGGGCCAGGAAAGATGAAACTTATATAGAATCATATTCAGGTAGTGTAGATTCAAGTTTGTTCAAATCATGACCCCCGGGGGTAGGGTGGGGCCACAATGGCAGATCAAAGTTTTACATAGGAATATATTGGACAAATCTTCCTCTCAAGAACCATTGAGACATGAAAGATGAAACTCTTCAGGAATCATCCTCAGGTAGTGTAGATTCAAGTTTGTTCAAATCATGACCCCCGGGGGTAGGGTGGGGCCTAATGGCCGATCAAAGTTTTACATAGGATTATATAGAGAAACCTTTTAAAATCTTCTTTTCAAGTACTTCAAAGCCATGC